TTGGCTGATGCTTTAGCCAAACAGGGGGTTTCTAGGGAAGATCTTTTTTGTGCTTCTATGTAAGTTGTTATTAATTTGGAAATCTGTACTTAACTAGCCCGGAGAGGTTGCAACTCGTACCTTTCCTTGGGGACTTTGTACTATTGTCTATTGCTGATTAATAAAATTATTTCAATTATCAAAAAAAAAAAAAGAAAGAAATTGGTGTGACTATGTGAACTCATGAAAACCAAATGGCCCAGCCATGCACTCACTGGGTGTTTTGGTTTATCCCTCAACTTATTATAGCATGTCTAAGTTTTTTTAGAGGCCACAAGATTATGATTATATGAACTCGTCACTCCACATGTTAAACTACATTCATATTTCTTGATTATCCTAGTAAGGTAGTGTCTCCTAAAGGTAGTTTCCATTTTATCATATGATAATGGGTAATTCATGTATTACTTAGGGTAACAACAACTAGCATGCACTCACCGGGTAATTTTGTCTTTCATTTGATTGATAGAATGTCTGTATTATTGGAGGTTTGCAAAAAAGTGTTGTGACCATGTGGACTAATCGAAACCAAGTCACCTAGGCATGCACTCACAAGGTGATTTGGTTTTAAATTTTAGTTATTAAATGTTCACAACTTATTGAAGAGTCACAAGAAAGTGTTGTGACCATGTGGACACATCACAACACGTGTTTTTTTTTTTTGATAAATAACATCACAACACATGTTATGATGTGTCGAACCGTGGTTGAACCGGAGGTCGAACTGTGATGACGTGACATATACATATATGTACTACGGGTCATATAAATACTATATAATATATTTTACAACTTTTAATACGTGCATAATAATGTAATATGTACAATAAATAGTCATTAACTAACATATGTAAAGAGGTGGATTAGTGGTAATTAAGTAATCTATGAAAATAAGAGGTCTTGAGTTCAAATCTTGTTAACAACATTTTAAAATTTCACTTATGTATGGACCTAGGCGGTTTCATGAAACTGGGACCGGTTCACTGGTTTTTTGGTTAAACCAATCGGTCAACCGGTTTTCAACGGGTTTTGAGCAAATCCGGTTATTGGGATGTGACCGAACCGGTCAGAGTCCCGAGTCACGGTTCAACCAATTCGACCGGCCGGGCCGGTCCGGTTTTCTAAACACTAGTTGTGACCATGTGAAATCATCAAAACCAAATTACTCAGGCATGCAATCACTAAGTGATTTGGTTCTTTTGTTTGATTGATAACATTTTGTATCTTATTGGAGGGTTGCATAAAAGTGTTATGGTCATTTTAACTAACCACTCAACATGTTAGGCTACCTTGATATTTCTAAATTGTCTTGGTAAGGTAGTAGACCCTAGAGGCAATCTTTATTTTTTCATATGTTAGCGGATTGTTAGTGTCATTTGGAGTAGCAACAGCAGATGCAAGTTGCATTCACTATATAATTTGGTTTTTGTTTGATTAATAGAATATATGTGTTTTATTAAAGGATCGCAAGTAAGAGTTGTGACCATGTGAATACATCAAAACCAAATCACCCAGGTAAGCACTCACTGGATGGCTTGGTTTTTCATTTGGTCGATAAAATGTCATGTTTTATTGGAGGGTCAAAAGAAAGTGTAGTGACCACACAAACTCATCACTCTACATGTTAAGCTATCTTTGTATCTCTTGATAGTCAAAGTAAGGCAGTGGATCTTAGAGGCATAATTTCAAGGCATTAAGGCAAGGCTAAGTGAGGGATTTTATTAATAAAACCTGTCTTTCAATATTAATTGCCGCCTAGTTGCCTAGGTGATGGGTTATTTTGAATAAAAACCATGAATCTTAGGGTAATTCCTTAGGTTTTATAGCAAGCAGCAACCATCTTTCGCTATTAATTGTTTATGATCTTCATAAAAAAATGTATAAGCTTCATTTGAAACATAAAAAATCAACATATTCATGAATAAAATGAAGAAAGAAAGAAATTTCAGATAATAGAGATGCTGAGCCTCCATTTCTTTCTTAGCAAAGGAACAAAAGAAAAGAAAGGGTGGAAGAAAAAAATGATGAAAATAATCAATACGTGTTGATTGGATAAATTTTTGAGTTCTTCCATGCTTATTGGTTCAAGTTTTTAAGTCTTCGAGGATTCAAGGCTGTATGCATATTAATTAAACCCTAACAAATGAGAAAATTAACAAAACGAAACTAGTATTTTAACTTAAACTGGATAATTTAGTTTAATAATATCTATTTTTTTATCATAATCTCAAAAAGTTAAGAATATAAAAGCATCCAAGAGCACATGTACAAAATATCTTGACGATCAAGTGAGACGACCCTCCATGAGTGCCTTATCGCCTAGGCACCTGCCTAGGTATCAGATTGACAAATATGGGTGATCCATTATTAAAGAAAAGGTCTTTTATGAAAAGCAGAAAAACCGTATTTCAAACTTCAAAGTCAAATTAAATGATTACAAAATGTTTTTTATTTCAGAAAAGAAAAGAATCTTCTCAATTAAAAAGAGTGTTTTGTAACCCTGTAAGATTACCTAAAAATTAGGTGCACCTTAAGGAAAAGTTTAAAATCACTCTAAAAAAAAACTTGATTAAGCCACTTTAACCAAATGATCAAGTTTTTTCAATTTCACCAGATACTTGACTACATTTGTTCTACAAGCCTTAGGTTTGGAGTGATGAGGAGCAGAAATAGAAGCAAATCAAGTTAAACATCAAATCAGTTGATTTTGAGAAATAAAACCATTATGATTTACCTGGTCCAAACCCAAGGCAGGAAGGATGGCATCCTGGTACCGGTATTCTGCATTGCTGACAATCCCAATAGTGATCCCTTTTTCACATGCCCATCTTAGGAATGGTTGGGAATCTGGAAAGATGGTATAAGGTGCAGAGGAACCAAATACTGAATATATACGTCTGAACACCTTCTCAAATGTCTCCTCATCATAATCGTAGCCTGCCTGTCAGCAAAACAACATTCTACTTCATAGCAGCACTGGAAAATGCATTGATAAGATAAAAATTGGAATGTCATGATTCAAGAATGTGGTCATATCTCCTACCCTGACAAAGGAGTCTTTCACGCATGATTTCCACCAGACAATGTTCGGCATTTTTGCTGCATAACCAAAACATGGATACCGTTTTGCCATGTCAGTGTATGCAGCTTTAAATCCCTCATGCATGCGGTTATAGTCTGGACAAGGTAATCCTACAGCTTTGGCTGCCATGCAGTAGTAATCACCGAGTTCTCCTTTGTAAGCTATAAGTGTACCAGTGACATCTATGGTAATACAGCGTAACTTTGACAACATTGAGATCTGTGTTGACACCATACTGTTTCTTCTTGGAAATAAACGTTTCAGATAAGGCACAACCAGATGTTCTGGATTGCTGTTTTACCTCGACAAATTCAGAGGCTCCTCACGTGCGTGCATCAACGCTCTAGTCATGAGACATGTCAAGGTATTTTTAGTGTAAATCGGTTTAGAAGCAAGCTAGTGATTATCAGTAGGTTCAAGATAACATCATATAGAAACAAAAACCATGTCAGTATTTTGTTAGGGTCATGACTCATAAAACAATGAGACAACAAGCTAAACATGTCAATTTCACCAAACTAGGCATGCATGAATATTTAAACCAAATAAAATTGCAGTACAATGATGTCATTCTCTCACATTGATTCTCACAATATCTGTTTGTGTGGCAATGGAAAGATGTCAGTCCTGCTACTGACTTTGGTTTGGTATTTGTCATGGCCTTTGAATTCCAACAGTCAACCATTTCTGTTGGATTTTCTGTTTCTGCTGTGATGTTTAATCAAAAGAAAATATTAATGGTAGAAGTATAGAGACACATAATAAAGGGGCAAAGGGCACCAAAACACCTTCCCCCAAATTTTTTCAAAAATAAAAAAGGCTTCAAAAGTTTACCACCCACATTATTTTTTTCTTTTCTCATTGGAGTTCTACCCTAGATTTTTTATCTTTTGTTCCCATAGGTTAGACTTTCCAGACTTCCACAAAACAAAAAGAGGAAAAAAAGAGGGGGAGGGAGAGAAAGAGAGAGGTCCAATTGCAAAAGCAAGAAGAGGTTTTGCCAACTCAGATTACTAAAGGAACCTCCAGAATCAAGACTACAATAAACTTAAAGCTTCACTTGCTAAACTGACTTATCATTAAAGGGATATGCTTCATTTCATATAATGTAGAAAATGAAATCTTCCACATACGACCATGGCACCATGCAGATATAAAGATCCACACATAGAATTTTTTTTCTGGGATAAGATCAATGATTTTAAGATTTTTATATGATGAAACAATTTGATGGAAAATGATAAAATATCTTACTTGTCCAAAGGTTTTTTATCTTTACAAAAAAAGTACTAACAAAAAAAAAGTTTGAAAGAGAAAATAAAAGAGGCTGGTAAGACCATCCCAGCAAGAAACAACAGAAAAAGGAAAAGTATCACAAATTAAAAAATACAACTCAATTCAACAAACCTTACTCCCAACCACTTTGGGTTAGCTACATGAATCCTGTCTCAGCATTGCACTCTATAAATAGTCATATCTTCTATCAATGTGTAGGTCCTTAGATCATTTATTATTACTTCAGCCCACATCTTCTTCTACCTTCCCCTTGTTCTCTTTTAGGGTCTTCTACTTGCACCAAATAACTCCTCAATAGTGCAATCATTCGTCATTTATGCACATGGCCAACCATCTCAAAAGACACTTCATCTTGTCGCCTATCGGGGATACTTCTAAGTCATTCCTAATGTGCTTTTTGTTTCTCATTCTATCCTTCATAGTCTTGCAACTCATCCACACACATTTCCTGTACATGATGTATCTCTGATGAATAACAGAAACTGATTTATTAGATTAATAAAGTGTACAAAGGAGATGGGAGAGATAAACTCTCCCAAATACAAACAACATAATTACAATACAGACCAAAATAAATGATCCCTTCCCATCCCTTGCTTTGCTAATGTATCAACGAAGGAATTAGCATTCCTTTTCACCCATTGCACATTGATTTCCATTCCTTGAGACAACCATTTACTCTTTCTTTTCTCATTTATATGGCACCACCATCCTGCCTCCTCTTCCTTCTGCAACCATTAAATAACTAGAGTCCCCCTCAATTACTAGCTTATAGATATTCAGCTCTTTAGCCCTTTGAAGACCTTCCAATACAACCATTATTTCAGCCCTCAAAGAATCTCCAACACCAATTGGTCCCGAGTAGACAGCAATCATTGTTCCTTCCTCATTTGTAAAGACACCCCCCCCCATGCTTGAAGGACCCAGATTTCCTTCACTACTCCCATAAAAATTCAGCTTAACAAAACCACATGGAGGAGGGGACCAAGTTGGTCTTACCACAGCCTTGCTAGGAGTTGATTCAGAAAGTACCTTTCAATTCCTCACCAAATCATCTGCATGGACTCCCTCAAAGAGATCAAGAAACTTCACCCAGTGGATCACCCTAATTGTAATGACTTCAATTAAGGCATCCCTACTTCTCATCTTATCAAGAAGGACTCTCTGATTCCTTTCTTCCCATGCTGTCCAATGCACAACCACCCCTGTACATCTCCATAAAGATCTTCCCCTCTTCTTTGGCTAGGCCAAGTGCCAACTAACAAAAGTAGGGGCAAACAAGCTTCGAATATTTGGCAGGGGGTTTCACCTGCACCCAAACAAAGAGAGAAACCATTCCTAAATTGAAGAAATAGAAGGGCAGGAGATTAATAAGTGGTAGCAAGACTCACCATCAGCCTTACAAAGAGAACATCAGTTAGGGGATAAGCACCAATTTGGTCTTTTTCTTTGAAGCAAATCATAGGTGTTAATTCTCTCCAAAAAGGCTTCCCAGCAAAAAGCACCTACATGAGGTGGGATAGGCTTACTCCAAACCTCCCTAACAAGAAAAGGCATCCCTAAACTGTCCTCTAGCTGAACTAAGGCTGAGAAGGAAAAAAGGCACAAGAAAATGATCTAGAAGAAGAAAGAGTCCAAATTCAACTATCCCTTTTAGTGGGATCCAATCCCAAGCCCCAGTCAAACCCAAATGGCGAATTAGAGGGCACAATGAAAGAAGAGATAGGTTCAACCCTACAATTGGAAATGGCAGAGAGAGAGAGAGAGAGAGAAATTTCTCATTTAAAAGAGAATTATCCAACCACACATGATCCCAGAATTTGACACAATTTCCAAAACAAGGATTATACCTGTCAATGGCAAGAAGGATGATAAAATTGCATGGATGGACTTCCAAGGAGAAGCTCTAGAAGCCCTAGCCAAAATCTAGGAATCCTAACCATCAGTGGCAAGCCCATAAATATGAGTTCACATCTGCCCCCCACAGAATGTGCCCCAAAAATGCCCCACATGCACATCTCAGCATGCATTGAGAACATCTTCCGTACTTGTCATTGGGAGATGTTCCCAATGCAACGATAAAATGGTTGAGAGACAAAAAAGGGGGCCCTTGGAGACTGTATCACTATCTGACTGAAGCTTGGGATTCTTTGGATGGTTTGAATGTTAACTTAGTTTGGGTTCCTAGGGAACACAATCATACTGCCGATGGCCTAGCTAAATTTGGTGTGTATTTGGAGCATCTGTATAGCGACAAGCTTCCTCCTTTGTAACTTGTAGGGGTTCCCCCCCTGCTTTGTATACCTCCTCTTGTCCCCCCCCCCCCTTTTTTCTTAATAAATTCTGGTTAAATTTTCTCAAAAAAAAATGTTCCCAATGCACGATTGGATGTGCTGTGGGACGTTTTTTGGGGTGCATTCTGTGGGGGGAAGATTTGAACTCCATAAATATTGACGATAACTTTTGTCCACGGCTTGTCTCTATTCATATGTAATTACCATATAATATTACTGATCTTATAGTCAACTTACAAAACTTCCTATTAGTATTAACAGAATATGCTTATCACACAAGATGCCATACGCACCTATCCATTCTAATCGCATTATTAGTTCCCTACCCCACATCCCTTGTAATGGAAAAATAAGTTTATGCTATGAGAGTTAAAGTTCCTTAAAGTTTTACCAAGTCTGTAGAAAGTATGTGTACATGCCTTTGTAGAGGCCCTATACCCCCATTGTTCCTCTGTTTCAGGTAAGATATAGTTAGTGTTTTAGGGGGGGGGGGGCATATGCCTAGAGGCACACCTCCAGGCAAGGTACCCTCAAAATGCCCTAAGGTGTATGCCAAGGCACTGATGCCTCTAAGGCATAAGCCTCAAGTCTGTGAGGCACATGCCTCATATGCCTTTTGCATGAGGTGTGCTAGAGGCATACGCCTCATACAAAAAAAGCAAAAAAAAAGGAAAGAAATTTTGGGCCAGGGGCTCCGCCTCCCAGAAACACCCCCCCCCCAAACACCTTTTTAATGCAGCCCAATTATTTGTGCCAAGGGGGATCTTGCTCCACTCTAGCTCACTTGCCCCCACTTCAAAAAGACACCTCCCCCCTTCAGCTAGTATTATGTATCTTCATTTTTCTTAATACAAGATATCTTTCATAAAAAAGAAACCCAAAAAAAAAAAAAAAGATGAGATCCCCCCCCTCCTCTTCTTCCTCCTCAATAGCTGGCAAGTGAAGATCATCTGGAGCATGGTTCCTTTTGCGATCTATTGAGGAATTTGGAGGGAAAGAACATAATGAAAAATTGAGGGAAAGCAACACAGAAATTGAAGATTTGTTGCTTGCTCCATGATGATGTAATGGATTAAAGTTCATCCTAAATTTGAAGATATAGGGATTCCGTCCTTGGGAACTGATTTTTAGTAAATGTTGAAAACTGGTTATTCTTTGTTGTTTGGTTTCTGATTTAAGTTCTTTTGCCTTTTTTTCTTGGCAAAACAACTTCTCCATGGTCTTCATTTTTCTCTTTTAGTAAAATGTTTTTACTTTACTACCAACAGAATAGACAAGCCTGCAAATAGCCATTTTCATATATTAACATACACATGCACAGACATATGGACATGCTTTTAATAAACCAAACCCAATTAGTTCAGATGATTTTTTATCCAGTTGAGGTAAATGGCAATGCTTTCTAATTAAATATTAGGAATTATAATATCTCAAAGTTTACCCTTGTACCTATTATTTGAACTGAAGACATAAATTGTTAGTGTAATTACCAGAAAAAATCCACAAATGACCAACATTGGAAATCTTGAAAGACAATTCCAAATTGTGATAGACTCTAAGTTTTACTCTCATATTAAGAAGGGTTTGACTATGATGCCAAAAAGACATGATACTGGAAAAACTCAGAACCAATCTTTCCATCATCATAGATTTTCCCTACAAGTATTTTGTTTTTTTATCAGTAACTCATAAAAGGATTTTATTAATTAAAAGAAAGCAGAGAAACAAAACATTGTGGAGGTGACCAGTCCAC